AATGAAAAGAGTAGAAGATTGCTTTTGTTCCATTTTAAAAGAAATATACTCAAACGATGAAAAATTTCCAAGGGGCATTCTATGGGAGACAAAGTGCTCTCTAAAAACTGCAGCTATGCCTCCCCCCCTTTTGTTTTCTCGTATTTCGGATTCGAATTTAAAATTGGGTGGTGTTGCTTCTATTAGAACTGCATTTCCTGTATTTTGGTCGAGCCATGTTTCAGCCATAAGCATAAAATCAAGATCATAAGAAGTGATAAAATTATTAATTAAAAATGATTTGTTACATAGAGATCTGACATTAAGCATAGCAAGTTTAAAAATAACGTCAGAGTCGATTAATGTGGTTGATTGATTTCTACAGGGAACAGAAATTAGATTTGCAGAGTTGGACCGTCTAACTGCTGTCCTGTTTTGATTTCGTTTTTTAGAATTTAAAAACATTTTTGAGCTGGTGCGAGGAACACACACAGTCTCAATTGGCCTAAAATGTGAAAACCCTTGTTGTTGTTCTTTAGCTCCCAGAGTCAGAAGGGAGTCAGCACAGTTCAGTGTTTGGACTGGTAATGCACTGCCAGACGGACAGGGAGCAGTGTTTGCACCGTTGTACTCACCCGGTGCTGGTGAGCAGGAGGCGGGGGAGTGCGGTGGGGTCCGAGGGGGCTCAGATGTAAACAGTCACGCCCCCCTCGGGGAACGCTGAACAACGTAACGTATGTAATCCATCAACAGGCTGCTACCGTATCTGTTTGGGTGTAATCCGTCTGGACGATAGGCTTCGTAACGTTTCCAGAAAAGGGCAAAGTTATTCACAAAGACAAAGTTAAAAGAGCTGCATGTAGCCTGGAGCCACATATGCAGCGCCACAACACGACTGTAGAGGCAGTCACCTCTGTTTACAGTCTGGATTGGACCAGAAATAAAAACAGATAGTCCGGAGGATTGAAGGAGGTGGAACAGATCCATAAAATGTTTCTTCGTGACTTCTGACTGCTGAAGTTTCATGTCGTTAATTCCCACATGCACGACTACCTTGGAAACGGTATCAGGCAGGGACTGAAGCAGAGGAGGGAGACGTATGAGCAGGTCTGGTACAGTAGCTCCGGGAATACAGCGAGTGACCGCGTTAAAGAAGCGGACGTGTCTCACGATGGAATCTCCAATAATCAGAGTGGTCGGGGCGAAGAGTGGCCTCGGAGAAGGAGCTCGGTGGACGGAACCAGCGGGTTCACCCGAAGCAGGACCCGAGCCTGAGCGCCGCTGAACACATGGAGAGGAGGAGCGGGGGTGCTGACTCTCAGCTACAGGCGACCCACGCTGTGTGCTCGGGGACGCTGGAGCGGTGAGAGGGGCTGGCTCTGGGCGCTGCTGCTGACCCGGTGGAGGTGAGCGGTGGTGATGATGGCTAGCTACCCCAGTCTGAGGCTGCTGCACTGGGGTCAAAGAAGGGGAACAGGCCAACATGGCTGGTGGACCGCTCTTTCGCCTGAGGACTGCTTCCTTTAGGAGCGTTTTCCTCGTAGTGGACTTGGATCCTCGAGCAGTAGAGTACGCTGCAGTGTCCAGGGATTCTGCTGAGGGGGCCGGGATGTCGGTGGAGAGGGCTGCATAGCGGTTTGCCAGACTCAGGACATGGGCCACGGCGCAGGATGGCTCCTCGGAATCCGCGGGCTCGTTATTCGGAACCGGGCGCTTAGGTGTAGAACAGGAGGGTCCGGAGCTGACGGATCTCTCCCACACGACAGTGTCACAATATGCAGCGCTCAGTGACATCAGCCGTGAATGCTGCCCACCAGCGACTTCAAAAAGTTTGGATACTAGAGATTGTTTCTCATTCAACTCTGCGGTGAGACGAAGGACTTCTTTTCGTAGATCTGCAATGGTGGCACGGTCGCTCTCACGGAGCTCCAAGGTGAGGCGACTAATATTGTGCATGTTTGAGCCAATTTCATTGTCACTTTCCATGTCCTCGTTAGCTTGTGTTAGCCTCTGTGCTACTAGTGGGTTTCAGTCGGGACTAAGTGCTATTTGCTGAAACCACTGAATTAAAAAGATAAAACACTCAGATATATTAAAAAACTGAACAATAAAAACGCGCTAAAAAGTTGTTAAAAGTTTACTAAAAAGGTGCACAGAGCAGCCCTGCAGTACTGCTTACTTTGACACACCTGCGTTGATCCACCTTGATCAACGTTGATATCTTGATTTACTTTTTCTGGCTGTTGTAAAATTTGCCAATAGAAAAAGCAAAACGTGCCATTGCCTAAACAGTGCATCACGGACACTACTGGGTCCATTGGCAAATCCTGTTTTGGACTTTTTGTTTTTGCATTACTTGTTTTTATTATCAGTTTATAGAGCGCCAAACAGACATTGCAAATATAACAAGTTTAGGACTGCCACAAGTAAATTGATAAAACGCGTCTCATCGATTATTGAACTAGTTTAGTAACGAGATCAATCAGTTTTTGAACCTTACCTGGGCCAAAGCATTCTGGGAAAAGGCTTTATGACTGTGCTGTAAATACTCCAGAATGTTATGGAATGTTTGTTTTTCAAAAGTATTTCTAATCAAACAACCAATAATGTTACATCAGGTCTCTATGGAGATGTTCTTGACTGACATTTTTTAAGTCAGTAAGCCCCCCCCCCCCCCCCCCCCCAAAAAAAAAAGGACATACTGTACATACAAATTTTGTTTTCATTCCGGTTTATTTTAATATAAACCTCAGCCCTAACTGCAGTATGTAATGTGTCAAAAATCTTATGCTAGCGGTGTCATTTAGCCTAGTGTATTTTCAGATTTTTTATTTTATTTTGGTTTTTTTAACGCATTTTTGTTCATTAATTCCCCCCTCCCCTTGCAATTGCTCTGCGCCCCCCACTTTGGGAACAACTCGCTTAAGCAATGTTTTGGTCAAATTCATTTAGAATGTCTTGTTTGACAGATTTAAATAACTAATCGGTCAATCATGAGGATAATAGGGCCAACTCATAGATTATCAAAACAGTCTATAATCACAGCCAGTTATAAAACGCATACATTGTAAACGACTGCGGTCCGTACGATGTTCGTCTGCATCTGTTTTGATTCTCACTTCCTGTAGCCGTACACCTTGCATCCAACAGAGCTCCTCTTGGGTGTCGGGGATGAGATTGCCGTGCAGCGCCCACGCGGCTGCTATGTAGGTCATTAGGTCTGAGTGTAATTTAAGGAGTGCACATCTGCTCGCCCGCAGCGGAAGAGAGTGTGGTGGCTCCAGCTTCAGTGCCGTGTTTAATCCTCCTGTGACAGCTGATCGCCCGCATCCCGGCATCAGTCCACACGTCGTCCCTTTGTTTGCACGCAGAAAGTTGCACCACACCTGAAAAGTTCTGCCCCCCAATGCACACTAGTGGTGGGGAGAAAAAATCGATTCTGTTCCGTATGGTTATATTTGGCATACGGAATTAAATTGATACAGTAGAGATAAGGCAATTTTTAATTTAATAGTTGATTGAGATTATGTTTCTGTTTTTGGTTTCTCTAGTCTATTGTATTAGAATAATGTGAGTGATGTGCTGGGAGCTCACCTTTCATGTGAGAGGTCGTCTAGTCACAGAATACTGATGTCTTGCCCGGTAATAAGGTCCTGTGTCCTGAATGTTCAAGGATAAGGTTTTTGCACAACCCTCCTACATTTTTGCCAATTCCCACTTTTAATGTTCCAACTGCAGTGGGGTGGCATTTAGGATTTGTCATTATACACACTATAGTATGAACAGGTCTGGAGTAAAATTATGTAGATTTCGAGTCAACGGGGAAACGGAAAGTTGCAAAATGTCCAATTAAAACAAATGATAACGAATGAAAATAAGACATGCTTGTATCTTTCAAAAATGCAAAGTTATTTCAATCGAATCTTGAACCTAAACCTAAACAAATTAAGCACAGTTGTGATTATCAATCTGGGACTGTGTTCGGTTTTTGCTTTAATTTGTTCAGTGAATTCTTGACAGAGCCTGCATCTAGTCTTTTAAAAAGCTTATTGTTTTCAAAATGCTTATTTTATTCTAATCAAGTTGTACAGTTCAGACTTTGCAAAACTAAATGCACCTCTTAATTAAGTCTATCGTAATGTGCTCTGTGAGACTGATGTGTGAGAAGTGCTGTGATGATATGTTTATGTCTGAATTGCTTATGTTCAGGGAATTCTAACCATATTACCTCACCAACTGCCTTAGATCAGACAATATCAAATGCAATTGAATTTATAAATCTCTCCAAGATTATATCAAACTCAGTTATACATTTTATTATAACGGTTGATACAGTCTTGGGAATGAATTAATACCAAACTGACTTCTATGAGGAGCTGTTGGTAAAATTGTTTGGATAATGGCCGTTCTACTGGGACTTTTCAAAACTGCTAAATGACTGTGTGGAATTCTAATATCGATAAAAATAGATTAATGCTGTATGGATATTTCAAGAGTTTTTTCTATTACTATAACGGATTTATGTCTTTAATAACATTTACAATATATTTGTAAAAGGTGTCTTGGTCGTCCAAATTGTGGTAGTTAAGGATACCATGAGTTCAGCCGATAGTCTTGTCAGGCTTATGGTTTTTTTGTCTCGTGAGAATAATATAGAATCGCATCAAAACATTATACATATTGATGCTGATTGGCACGCACCCTCTGTTCTAATCTAACATGTCTAATCAATTCCATTTCAATCAATTCAATGTATTTTTGCATAGCCCTAAATCACAACATTAGTTTTCGCGGAGGACTTTACAAAGCTGTCAATTCTCCAACACAGATCAGAGAATCAAACCGTTCAGACACAGGAATTGCATCAATAAACACGTAGAGCCATTGGTTTATAAGGGGAGGATGACCAATGTCCATAAATGTTGATAGATGTCCATAAATGTCGCTGAATGTCAAATGTCCCGGATCATCACCACTGTCCTTAAACCCTCCTGCATCAGCTACAGTCTGCATTTCTCCACATGACAGAGCCTCCTCAAACAGAGCAGCACTGTGACCTCTGGGTTCTGGCCCCTGGATGCTGGATGACCCTGTGTGTGGTGGCCCCGTGGCATGGGCTCACGAGAGCACCAGACACATGCCGCTATGGAGCAAACAGTGCACACTTATTGACACAACAGACGGCTGACCTAAATGAGTGCACCAGGATTAAGTGTGGTTTCATCTGCGCATTTATCTCACTCAGAGAAACGGGAGAGCTCCATGGGGGTGGGGAGGGGGTGGTTGAAGAGCTCTGTGGGGGTGGAGGGCCAGAGCTCATGGGGGCTTCAAGATCTGTCATCCAAATCTGATTGACACGTCACTTGGCCTGTCACGGTAATAATACTTGACGGATAAACAATACAACAATTTAGGGCTCAATATTTATTGTTTGTAAAATGCTGTCTTCATCTTGGTGAGTCACTGTTTAACGCTTTCAGGCTGAGAGCTGTTTGACTGTGGGTGGTCCTCTCTTTTTCACTTTTCTGAGCAAAACTAATCTAAAGATGTGACAGAGACCAAACTTGTATGCATATGAAAACTATTGATGGAACTAAACTAGAGAAGTTAGATTTTAGTGCATATAGGGATATTTTGTGGTTAAACAGTTCTTAACAGTTCTAACAGTTCTCTCTGGTCATAAGCTTTGGGTAATGACCGAAAGAACGAGATCGCGGATACAAGCGGTCAAAATGAGCTTCCTCCGCAGAGTGGCTGGGCGCTCCCTTAGAGATAGGGTGAGGAGCTCAGTCACACGGGAGGAGCTCGGAGTAGAGCCGCTGCTACTCCACGTCGAGAGGAACCAGTTGAGGTGGCTCGGGCATCTGTTCCGGATGCCTCCTGGACGCCTCCCTGGGGAGGTGTTCCGGGCACGTCCCACCAGGAGGAGGCCCCGGGGAAGACCCAGGACACGCTGGCCTTGGAACGCCTTGGGGTCCCCCCGGACGAGCTGGAGGAAGTGTGTGTGGATAGGGAAGTCTGGGCGTCTCTGCTTAGACTGCTGCCCCCGCGACCCGGCAACGGATGAAGCGGAATAAAATGGATGGGTGGATGGATGGATAAACAGTTAGTTACCCCAGCATTATATTCAATTTAATTTTTCAAAGCTATCAATTCGCCAACACAGATCAGAGAATCAAACCGTTCAAACACGGGAAATGCAACAATAAAAAAAACATAGAGCAATTGGTTCATGAGGAGCGGTAGCAAGTATTGTATTGTTATTATCACACTATTACATCTTATTTGACCAATATTATAACTTTCCTTATAAGATAATTAAAGGATATATGTTTGTGATCTAGAATATGTGATGTTTGTCATAATATTAGTTTCATTATTATGCAGAAATCGTCCAGTCCTAGTTGCTTGAACAGTTATCGACATGAGGCCCAGTGAAGTGCATGGAGGGCTGTATTGACCTGCTCTGCGCCCATAATGAGGCTGCTCAGTCAGGTTACCCAGAGTGCACTGCAGTTCACCAGGTCCAGATTATGGCAGTAGTGGCGGTCACTGATCTCATTTCATTTGTTATGATTCAATAATAATAATACTTCAAGAATTAAACCAACTAAACAAAGTCATATAGCGGCGTGTTGCAGCCTTCAATCAATGGCTGTCATCACAAATCAGTTTGTTTGTTGTGAAGGGAGATTAATCCGTTCCACCCGATGGACACCAGCATTCCATGTTTGGATGCCTTTAGAGCAGGTCCCATGTTCAGAGGCCTTTAGAGCAGGTATTGCACATCTGCCAGAGGGTTCAGCCTTGGTCTTCTGTGCAGCCATCCAGATAATTAAACGTGATGGCGATCTTTTGACACGCTGCGTTTGTGGCACACCTCCGCCCATGTCTGGCTCTTTCACACACACGCTCACACACACACACACACACACACACTCACACATGCACCTAACCCCACACCTCCCATCCTCCACCTTAAATGAACTGATATTTCCTCCCTCGTAATTTAATTAACTTCCATAGAGCGCAGGCAAAGTGGAAAGCAGCGCAACTTCTCCCCTTCTTTGTGAATGAATGCAGTGTTGTAGCACTTCGGAAAAAATCCAGCACTAGTGTACAGGCAGACAAGACCATTGTATCTATGTTAAATGTGCATTTTCAATAAAAAGAAAATCTGTAGTATTGTGTATATAGTTTTTTTCTATATTGGTATCAGCAAATATTGGTTATCAGCTTGAAACATTGTGAAATTATTGGATATCGGTATCGGCTGGAAAAATAATTATGAAGGAACTATTATATGAAAAACAATTTTGTTTTCTATTAAGGGGAACCCATAATGTTGTGTTTCTATATTGTACAGTTCACAGTGGAACCTCTCACTTTTGTAAATAATTTAAAAAAGTATTTCTTAAAAAAAAATGTAAAAAAAAATTGCGACCTATTGATCTCAAATATGTGCTTTGTTTTGCTTCTGGAACATCATGGAACTCAATATCAGCCAAAAACCTGAATAAACAAGTATGTTGCCCGTCCCTATTACTTTCATCTGTACCGCCAATGCTGGAATCACAAATGTTGCCATGCATTCCTTTAATAAATGCAAAGCCATGCGTTGAAACGTATTAGGCAATCAATAAAATAATCTCCCAACATCATTCACTTTGACATACGGTTATATGCATCTAATCTGTTCTTGCAACCTCAAGACATTCCATTTTATTCAGCGCCAGACCCTGTTAAAACCCCCCCACCTCATATTGTGTTTCGATGAAGTGCCATAAAAGCGTCGGCAGTTCTCACCCCCGCAGTCGTCTAATCCAATATGAATGAAGGAGGCTTGTTGAATCCGCCACATATGACTTTTGGGTGTAAAAATGTGATATTGATGTGGAGCCATGAGCCCAAGTGGAGCACTCCCTCCTGCTGGGAATCAAATATATAACGGTAAATAAAACATGCACGTATCAAATATTCACCGATCCTATACTCTGTGAACCAGTTTTCCACTTTTGATTAGGTCCATAGATGCGTATGAGTAAATATGTCGCGTTCTAAGTCTTCAAGATCTGCAAGATTGTGTTTTTGGAGCTTTGATGTTGAACCGTGCTACTACAGTACAGTGTTCTCATCTTTAATGATAATAATAATAATAATAATCCATTGTACATATATAGAGCTTTTTAAGACTCTTTACTAGAAGGACAAATAATAAACAGACTTGCAGTTGTTTTTAGCTCAATTTCTGCTAATATCAGTCATTGGTAATAGGAGTAGTGTGGAGTAGTGGTAGTAATTTGAATATGGCCTCGTTCCTGGTTAAAAAGTGGGTTGCTGCATTTCTAGTTGGTTAATTACAATAGAGCTGGTGCTTTTCTGTGCAGAGGGCTTCCCCACTGCTGCTGGGGTTCAGAGGGAGTCACTAATGAGGGAGATTCCTGCGCATGTTGTATCGAGTGTAAAGAAGGAAACTTAGCTGAAAGAAAGTGTTAGATGTTTGAAAGTAATATATAGGCCAATCTGTAAAAGCGTTGGTTTTATTGTGTGTCTTGGTTTTGTGTAAGTCGATCGAAACAGAAAGGATTTCAAGTAAAGGGTCTATATACTAGGGCAATAACTGCAAATGACTGACCCTAGCCCTAATTTAAAATGGGCACAATTAATGGCAAACAATGGCATTACATGTATAGAGTAGGTCAAATTCCGGCTGTAGTTTTTGATACTGCTCTGATTACTCGATAAACTCAATGTTATACTATTTTTCTTGATGTTTCAAACTTTGTTCAAGTCCATAACTTTTTGTTTTTGGGGAATTGGGAAATAATAGAATGACCTATTTGACTTCACATTTACAAATGGATCTTTACTATGAACCTTGCCTAATCTAGACCTTTGTGATATTTAGATTAGATGTTTTGTTCAACATCGGTGGAGCTCTCAATGCGTTCTCATGCGTCTGTCAATTTCACCTCACTCAAAACGCAAGCACGCAAACTACATATCTGTCTAATTCTTTATCTGTCATTAGTAAGAACCGATACGCCCTGTTAGACATGGGACGATATAAACATGGATCAGGATTACCGGGAACAAAATAGTGGCGGTTAAAAGGCGGTTGCCGTTGTTTATGATAATACAATAAATGACAATTCTGAAATAAGAATATACACAGCACAAGATAAGTGAACAAAAACTCTATACTAAAATATTAAAACAAATCTCTTACTTTGGCCTAATAAAGAAGCAAGTGTAAAACATCTATCTCTTGCATAATAAAACGGAAAGTAGCTGTTTAAACATTGTGCTTTGTGAAAAAATATAATCTTGAGGAATGATATTGCGACTAAACATGTTCTTTTTAGTTTATCGTCTTATTACGTATCCATCCCACCTCCCTGTATAACCTCCAATACTCCCAATACTGTGGCCGTGTTGTGACCAGCGAGCTCGCCGCCACTGACCATGTGCGTATGTTGTGTGTAGCTCCCCGCAGACTTCAGCAGACTGCACCTGGCCGAGGCCTTGCACGCGCAGGGCCCTCTGGTGTCCTCCAGCCACTCGGGATGTAGTATGACCAGCGACTCTGGGAGCAGCAGCCTGTCCGACATATACCAGGTAAGAGGCTCCTCCCACTGCGGCGGAGGCCCGGACCACTCCTGGATTCACCCACTACCAGTGTGACCCTTAATCACTCCAATCTCCAATCAACTAATACATTAATTCTGATCAACTAATGAATAATTTGTGGGATGATTTGTCAATAAATAATTTTGTGTGAAAGTGTGTCACGTGTTGCTGCACTGCTTGGATTAATTTTTGATTGAAATTTTGCATGTGTTTGTGTGTGTTTGAGCAGGGATTTTATGCAACTTTTCCCCCATAAATGGCACATGTTGATGGATACTTGTAAGAAAGATCCCTGTGACCATTGGCTAAGTGAGGGTGATTCTCTTTATTCCTTTTCTGTCTGATCTAAAGGAGATTTGATTTTTTGTCTTTTTATCTCAACAAATTTGAACAACTGAATACTTTCTTTGCCCCTGTGTCCGATTCTTACCGTTTAAATTATTGGGCGTTCTCAAAAAGTTGCTCAAAACTAAAAAAATAAATGTTTTGATTTTATGGATATAATATATTGGTTCAAAAGAGGTCTGAAGGATGTTCTGAATTGTGTGCAAAATATGTAAAATGTTTGGGAATGGTGCACACTGGGGTAGTATTGTACAGTTTTTCCAATGTGGTTTTACTGCAAATGGCAGTAATACCAGTAATACATTCCTGAATCTTTAAATGAAGGTGTCTCTTAAAGCCCTTGTATTATACAAACTTGTTTTAATAGTATTATAATATTGCTTCCCCATTCTGTATTTAGAATGTCAAAATACTCCAGTCTAAACTAGTTTAACTTTGTTACAAATGATTCATTCATTTTCATCATCTAATAGTTTTTGAAGATTGTCCCCACTTCTAGACACCCTTTTTTGAGAAAATTATTAGACCATAGCAGATGTGGATCTTTGACAGTTTGTTATTGCGGAGAAATGAGCTCTAAAACAAGACTAGAATCTGACTTCTGCCACTCACTACAGTTACCATGAAATATTTCTCAGCTGCCCTGAACCACAAGGTGAAACTATAGGCTCTTTGGAATGTGCTGATGGTCTAAAAGTCTCCAAAGACCACCATGTATTTGGACCGTTGCTTTGCTTTTGAGAGCAAACTTTTAAGCAGCTGTCACTCCAGCACTCTCCACATTTCTACCCAGAACTAATCAAAACCTCCTCATCCACATCCTCCTGTGCTTCTGTCCCGTTTCCCGGCAAGGTAAATACATCGGCGTTTAGCTCCATGTTGCGCACACGCCGGGTCTTGTGACTGCGGGGTGGGCGCTGAACCCTGACACTAATCCTCTTACGCGCGCACACTCGGCCCTAATGCGTCACCTGCTGTTTGTGCCGTGCGGGGCCGTTACTCTGACCTCCCCATGGACCTGGTGCTTGTACATGAGAGTATAGTGGACTCTGGTAATGGCTTGTACAGGAGTTCTGTATGTGATCGCGGATGTACGGCCATCTGCTCGCATCATGGCAGAGCACTTTCTTTATCACGGCAAAATATGTTGTTAAGTTTCTCTCAGATCTGTCCCTTTGTGGTGGATGCGTTTCTACTAAGCTGTTTAAAACCAGTTGAGAAGATTTTTCTTTCTCTGTCTTTGTGATCATATCTGCTTCAATACAATTTCAATTCAATGTATTTTTGTATGGACTCTCATTCACAACAGTATTTCTCTCAAAGGACTTTACAAAACCTTCGAATTTGCCAACACTGATCAGCGAATCAAACGGTTCAAACACAATAAATGTAATGATAAAAAACAGAAGCAGATGAAGCTTCAACAAAAATGAAGCAGATGAACAATGTCCAGCCTGCTTGTAAGCTAAGTAGGGTAAGGCTTGGTTAGTACAGCAATGGGAGACCTGTGTAATCCCAGGTGCCGCAGTGAGACACTCCCAAGACTGTTTCTGCAATGAAACTGCGGTTTCTTGCGGTTGTTTAATTCCTCTGAACATTGGGTAATCCTTCTGTCTTTAATTGTTTTTGTTTATTCTAATCCACTATTGGCAAATATTTTATTTGGTAAAGTCCTCTTGAGACAACTGTTTTTTTTTTTTAATTCTAGGCTGGTCACAAATACATTGATTTGACTTGTGTGTTTTGATGAGGCCCCTTGCTGTGGCCAGTCCAGCGAGGGTCCGGGGTCATGGGTCATGAGGGGACTTGCTTTTAAACCTGTGCCCTCTCATCAAACACTGATATATTTAGATTCTCCTGTTTAAGCGCTCACATACTCAGGCTGTTAAGCATCTGTTCCCTGAATCCCACTAGACTTGCCTGGCCTGCCAGACACTCCTCCTTTCTGTTCAAAAGAAGAACCGTCTGGACACCTCTTCCTAGCCTATCATTTCACGATTTTACCCACATCGGTTCAATCACGCACCGAGAGGCGGGACTTCCTTTCACCTTTGAGTTGCTAATAACTCCTCGTATCTTTAAGTTTTTGTTACAAAATCGACAGCAGTCGTTTACATTTGCACTAGCTGACATGCCGCCATCCCTTGTTTTGTGTTTACTGAAACGGCTTGGGTGCCGCTAGTTGCTGCGTCATATCCTGTGTGCATCTAATTGGTTGATGCAGTCTGTCAACCACGCCCACCGGGAATTCGCTGAGATCAAGCTCGTTCCCAGACTATATGTCTTTGAAAAAGCATATCGTTTGGCAGGCCAGGCAACCACTAGACCACACATACAGTAGCAATAGTGGCAAACCCTGTACAATAATGGCTTTTCACATTCATGTTCTCTTTTTTTCCCCTTCCAACATAAAATGAACAAATCTCAAACTACAATTCAGGCTAATTTCTTATTTATGTATTTATTTGCAGAGTTAACAGTTAAAAGTAGACATAAGCCATGTGATTGTGCCAGTGTTGGTCACTTTCTGATGTTAGCATTCTTTATGTCTAATAATAAACTGGTTTTACTGGGGTAAGTAAGTAAGTAAGTTTTTATTTATATACCGCCTTTTCACTGCAGATCTGAGTCTCAAAGCGGTTTACAATTGTTAATTTTGGGCACTTGTCTCTCACTCCACACAGAGATGGAAGCGGGGCCAGTACAGGAGGCACATGCCAGAACTATTGGACATATTTTTAGTGGTAGGGGAAACCGGAGTACCCGGAGGAAACCTACGCAGACACGGGGAGAACATGCAAACTCCACTCAGAAAGGCCCTGGTCCGACCGGGATTCGAACCCAGGACCTTCTTGCTGAGAGGCGAGAGTGCTATCCACTCAGCCACCGTGCTGCCCGTGGGGTATGTTTTGAGTTCCAAAGCATTCTGATAGAAACGAATGAAGTACGTCCAATGGAAAAATACTGGCGATGGAAATAGATCGTGACATAATCCTTGGTGCGATTTAATTATCAATACTTGAATCCCATCCGTCTTAATCAGCAGCAGGCTCCGCTCATTGTCAGTGCACAAAAGTAAATAATTCATGGTAAAATATGTGCTTCTGGTACACCGCGTTCTCACAGCGACGGGCCACGGCTGCTTTAATAGCGTGCGCAGATTAACATTGGTTTATGAGGAAAAATCCACCCGTTTTTTTCTTATAATTGCAGAATATCGGTTTCATTTCTCACTCTTCGCCACAGGACTCTTCTAACTTGTTTGTTTAAAGCGACAATAGTGCTTAGGATATCTGCTCCCTGCGGATCTGTGGATGAATAATGCGGCCCGGCTATTCATTAGGGACGTGCGCCTTCCTCTGTGGGGCTGTTTTGGAAAGAAGCAAAGGACCCCACAGGAAATGCAAAGACAAACTACACTGCTTAGTTGTAACAGTAGTTGTTTTGCCGGATCGGGACATTAACAAAGCTATTTTCAAGCTAAAAAGGAGCATATTATATTCAATTGGCCTTAAAATTATGTCACAATGTTGCTCCCTCATCACAAACAGACCTGATTTTGTAAAATTGCGTACATGTTTGTTATTTTAGAACAGATGGTGCATTTGCAGTCTTTGTGAAGGCCAGATACATATTGAATTAGTTGAAAATAATTTCAGTAAGTGACCCAGTATGAGCAACTGCAGCATCTCAAATGGAGCAAAAGAGACCTGTTCCACGCCACATGGGCCTGTCCATGGACTCTCTGCATATTATCGTCTAACTGCCAATTGTTGAAATATAACTATGCAAATGTGAAAGATTAAAGAAGGGATTTTGGGGTCTTGTTCCCGAGTGGGCAGGAGGGAGTTTGAGATTGACAGGCAGCGTGTTGGAAGACCGTTGTGGTGTAGAGGGAGGCAAAGCTCTCAAATTGCCGGTCAATCTTTGTTCCCTTCCTCACCTATGGTCATGAGCTTTGAGTAATGACTGAAAAGGACAAGATTGCGAATGCTTGCGGCCGAAATGAGTTTCCTTCGCGGAGTGGCTGGGTGCTCCCTACTGGTGCTTTCAGACCGCCAACGCTGAAACGCTGACGCCTCGCGCACCAGACGCACATTCTCTAATTTTCAGACGCAGGGGTTGTTCAGACCAGAAGTCCTGGGCTGCGGTGGCACCCGCCGAAAGTGGCGGAAGTAGCGGGCGGATTTTGATACTAACGGAGTTAAGCTAGCGGCTTTTTGTGTAAATTTCTTCTCCAATAATGCAGCTCTGCAGCGTCTCTGTGTCCAGAGACCTTCCAGATACTTTATATAACAGATGTATGTGTTCACGGAGGTGCGCCATACGTTTATTTTATTAATAAATGGTACTCGGCGAACACGGCGAACACGCTCAAGGCAGTTGCATTAAGTCACGGGAGCATGAAAGTGCATATGTTCACAAGCACTATGTCCCCCATTGTCAACCCTGGTTTAGTCCTGATGTAGCTCCTGTTTTGGCTGTTTACAAGTATGTTCAGTCTGCTCGCTCAGACCACTAATGTCCCCGTGACCACTTTGCTGCTCTCTGATTGGTCGCTGCACGAGCGTCCCGAGGAAACGCTCAGCAATTTTTATTTCCTGCGTGCTTCGATTTTCCGCTCCTGCGCCACTGCTGCGCAG